TACGGTTATAAATATGAAATACAACTAATACATTCTTTAAACCTATAATTAAGACCAGGGTAGTAATTTTAACAAAAATGTGTTAACCGACTTCATTAGGGTATGTTGTGATGTCCACACACTTTAAATTAACAATCAAATGTGTGTGGGACAGGCGGTTTAGAAATTATAGTTTTTATTTGTTATTTAGTGTAATATTGTGTTTTTCACCAACTTTGGGTTTTCGTGGTATATCTGATAATAATAATAAATAAATTAATAATTGTATTAAAAATGAGTTATTTTTCATGAGTTCTTTAATGAGTTTATTAAATTTTAAAAAATTTAGTTCTCAATTACATGAATAAACATTTCATAGCTTTTGTATGAATACAAAATTCTTTGATTTAAAACTTAAAACTTATAAACATTATGTTATGAAACTTTATATAATAAAATAGATACTGCAAATAGATTACTTTATTATACTTAAAAGAATGATATTTTAAAAATAATAAAAACTTGACTGCACACATACGCCCGCAACCACGCCGTAACCCGCTATATCCTAATCATTTAGTTAATTATTAATTTTAATTTATACAATGTACATTTAACATTAATTTTAAATAAATATTTTATTTTAATTACAATTGTATAGTTTAGCTTTGAAATTTTTATTTAGTGCAAACGTTTTAATATTTTCAAACCTATAATGAAAACATGTAGACAAAATACAATTATTAAATATCAAACTGATAATAGTGTCATGGTAATACTAATATTGCTTCTAATGAAAAGTTAGTCATCTAAGAAATTATTAGGAAAGTTGAACGAAATAATGAAAATATATTGTTTTATTATGTATAAAATATTATTTCATTAAACCACTTGAAATATAAATGATTGTTTCCATTGGATTCCTATAGTGATTATCATTAATATTGTATTGTTTTAAAGAATTTAGTGATTTGTTTAATAAGTTTATTAGATAAATTTAATGCATATTTAACCGAAAATTAAATCAAAATTTTAATACTATAATTAATGGAATTAAATTGTAAATATAAAACTTAACATCATATAAATTATTTACGATATTTAAAACTTTTCCCAATGTTATTAATAAATTGTTTTTATACAACATGAAGTATTAACTGTATATTATACGTAAAAGTATATAAATTTTAACAAAATATTACTAAACCTTTATTTAATTTGTAATAAATTTTTAATTATTGTTTAAAATTAATTGTTTAATTAAAGATGTCATCAATTTTAGAGAAGTTTTCAGTTTGTGATTCAATAGAAGAAAATATGAAAATAGAAATCATTTTATTTCACGTTTTCAATGATAATATTCATCATCAAAATGTACTTTTTGTGACAAAACATGACACCGTCTATGGATTGGGGAGAAATAGTATGGGATGTCTGGGTTTGGGTCACAACACACCCGTCCAGATATCACAACTTATACCTGAATTGTGTCATCAAAAAATCCAAAAATTCATTAATGGGGATGATTTTGTGTTGGCTATCAATGTGGACAGGCATGTTTATAGTTGGGGTCGAAATGATATGGGACAGTTAGGCAGAGATGTAACACCAAGTAACATTTATTCAAAACCTATACAAATTTCGTATTTTAATGAGAAAAATATAATTCAAATCAGTTGTGGTTTGTGTCACTCCTTGTCCCTCAGCACCGATGGACAGGTGTATGGATGGGGTGGGAATAGTAGTGGACAAATAGGTTGTGGACATACGAGTGATAGTATTAGTGAACCAATTGAAGTGCAATTTGGATACAATAATTTTATTTATAAAATTAAAAGTATTTTTTGTTATAATAACTGTTCATTTGCCATAACATCGTATGGACTTGTGTTCAGTTGAGGAGACAATGAAGACAATCAATTGGCACATAATATGACCGATGATTGCATATTAAGCCCGCAATGGTACAAAACATGCAGTAATATTAAAAATATTTGTGTGACTTATCGTGCTTTCAGTTTATCCTCAATATATTTCCATACAAACAATGATTTATTATATAATTGCAAAATTATGAACATTGAACAAAACCATAACATTGAACAATTGCCTCAAATAGATTCATACTTTGAAACAAATTGCTGTGTTGTTTTAAAAGACAGCAAAATATATGAACTTGATAAATCATTCAATTTTAAAGAAACCCAATATTATAATTTTATAGATTACTTTGCTAATGAATGCAAAATAACATACAATACAATAAACCTAAAAGAAAATTATTATAACAACACATTTGATCAGTTGTCAATGATAGGATATGGTGGTTTCGGAACTGTATATAAAGTTCAAAATAAATATGACAATAAGATATATGCTATTAAAATACAAGCTACTATAAATTCATACAGAGCTGGTATGAATTATTAAATTATTTATTGAAATTTTGATTTATGATTTAATTTATGTAATTAGGTGCTAAATACCATCCTATTGCAATTGAAGAGGCAAAGAATTTATTATTAGTTCAATCGGAATATGTTGTCCAATATTACGACTCATGGCTTGAAGGGAACTGTACATACATTCAAATGGAGTTATGTTCACAAAGTCTTCGAAATATTATGGAAATCAAACCACAAGTATTTAATCGACAAATAGGACATCCCATGGATTGCGTCGAGTATTTCATTTCGTGTGAAATATTCCGTCAGATCTTAGAAAGTGTTCAGTATTTGCATGAATTCAATCCACAAATCATTCACAGAGGCATTAAACCCGACAATATATTGATCACCGAAAATGTAACAAACGGTAGATTTATAAAGTTATGTGACTTTGGTTTGGCAACATATCACGACAAACGCGTTCACTTCAGGACTGAACGGAAACATGATCAAGATGTGGGAGACATGAAATATATCGCACCAGAAGTAGTAAAGGGAGAGAAATACAGCATTAAGGCAGATGTTTATTGTTTGTCATTAATTGGCGGCGAATTGTTTGAAGTGGATTTGGACGAGATTAATCTTGATGAGTATGATCCAATTAGTATTTTATTACAATATTAAAACTTTCAATTATATTTATTATTTCTATATCATTATATTTAGATGATTAATTTTTATAAAATCTTGGCCAAAATTGTTTACTCGTTTAATTAAATTTAAAAATACTTAGAATAGAGCTAGATTAAAACAAATTTTTTCCAACTATGGTTTTATTGCACCAATACACTGATATGACGACTTTTACTCAATTTTCAAAGGAACGGTAGTTTTTGAAAATCTTAAATAACTTAAAAAGTATATAACATTTTTAAGTTTTGATTTTTGGATTTGATTCACAGGGTCAATACCAAAAAAATAAATTCTGGATTTTGCAAAATTTTGCCTTGTTGATTTTTAAATACATTTTTACATTTTAAATTTGTAAATTTAAAATCCATTTATCTTAGCATTGGATCAATGTATCAGGATAATTCCAAATTGGTTGTAAAGCTCTTTCAAAATCATAAAACTAGTTTGCTTGCACCAGTACTGTAATAAATATACCTTACGTTTTAATCAAAGTATAAATATTTTCTATGTATTTAATTAGACAGGTTTTATTGTTTTACCCCTTTACCTGTATGATGAAAATACATAGAAAATATTTATCCCTTGATTAAAACGTTAGGCAAAATAGTTCCAGCTTGGTTGCCAGCAAACTAGTTTTAGGAGTTTGAAAGAGCTTTACAACCAATTTGAAATTATCCTGATACATTGATCCTAATGCTAAGATAAATGGATTTTAAATTTACAAATTTAAAATGTAAAAATGTATTTAAAAATCAACAAGGCAACATTTTGCAAAATCCAGAATTTATTTTTTTGGTATTGACCCTGTGAATCAAATCCAAAAATCAAAACTTAAAAATGTTATATACTTTTTAAATTATTTAAGATTTTCAAAAACTACCGTTCCTTTGAGAATTGAGTAAAAGTCGTCATATCAGTGTATTGGTGCAATAAAACCATAGTTGGAAAAAATTTGTTTTAATCTAGTTCTATTCATAGTATTTTTAAATTTAATTGAACGAGTAAACACGATTTTGGCGGAGATTTTATATCTATATATCAAACTATAGCTCAATTGAATATTCACCGATTGATACAATATTAAACGATAAGATATTCCAATTAAAAATACTTTTGAATTCAATGTTGGCACATGAATGGGACAAAAGACCGGATTGTAAAGACATTTTAGACAAATTTAACAGTTTGTCAATTGGCGGATATATTGTGACAAATAATTTGAAATTCGAGTCAGTTAGAAATACACTTAAAACACACTCATGTTCATTTTTCTATAAATTTTATGAGACCCAACTTTCAAAGTACAATATAACAGACAATACAGTAGACCTAGTAGGAAAATATAACAAAACATTTTCTAAAGAGTCACAAATAGGGATTGGTGCTTTTGGGACGGTGCTTAAAGTTAGAAATAAAAAAGACCACAATATATACGCTATTAAAATACAAAAACTTAATGGTATGAATTATTAAATTATTTATTGAAATTTTGATTTATGATTTAATTTATTTAATTAGATTTAACAGAATACCAAAAGTCTAATGCAACTAAAGAGGGAAATAATTTATTAAGAGTTCAGTCGGAATATGTGGTCAAGTATTACGACTCATGGCGTGAAGGGAACTGTATTTATATTCAAATGGAGTTATGTTCACAAAGTCTTCGAGATATTTTAGAAATCAAACCACAAGTATTTGGTCGACAAATAGGACATCCCATGGATTGCGTCGAGTATTTCATTTCGTGTGAAATATTTCGACAGATTTTAGAAAGTGTTCAGTATTTGCATGAATATAATCCACAGATCATTCATAGAGACCTCAAACCCGAAAATATATTGATCAAGAGTTCTGTAAGGAACGGTAGATTTTTTAAGTTATGTGACTTTGGTTTAGCTACAATTCATGAGAAACGTATTAACTACAAGACTACACACAAACATACATCAGATATAGGTGACTTAAGATATCAAGCACCCGAAGTAGGACGGGGTAAAAAATATGGTCATACATCTGATATTTATAGTTTGGCCCTAATTGGTGACGAGCTATTTGATTTTAGTTTGGATGAAATTGATTTTAATGAGTATGTTGTATTTCAAATTATTATATTTTCTTCATTGTTTTAGTGATATTTAATTTTACCCAGGACAACTGAATATTCATCCGAGTTTCCGGTGTTAAACGCAAAGGTAGTTCAGTTGCTATCAATATTGGAGTCAATGTATACACAAAAGTGGCGGAAAAGACCTGAATGTAGGGAAGTATTGACTACATATAAAGAGTGGGCTATCGATAAAGATATTGTTATAATCGATAAAGATTTCGCAAAAATATTAAATAAACTGAAGATTAATGACAACACATTTTTCTATGAATTTATCACTAATGTCTTATCATAACTATTAACACCAAGAAATAATATATTCTACATGCTAATTTGAATAAAACAAAAATATGAACTGTTACGATTAAAAGTAATTAAATTATTTTGTAATTATTTGTTTATAAATAAATTGATATAAATTGTTTGTATTAAAATGATATTCAATGAATATTAAAATAACCGCATATTAAACAATATTTTATACATTAAAACACTATATAAGAATTAACATGTAGTTTTTTATTAAAATTTGAACTCGACGAGAACCATATTTCAATACGTACTAGGTCAATTTATTTCAAATATGAAACATAGTCCGTTTGAAAGCTCATGACATCTACTTCAATTTTAACTATATAATATATAATTTTTGAGTTTTCTTTAAAATTAATTTCATAGAATTATTATTTTTAATAATGTACATGATAAAATTAATTTCTTATAATATTTTTGTATTCTAAATATGAAATGTACCAGTGTACAAATCTATTAATTAACAATATTACTTATAAACTATTGATTAAATAAACAAAGTTAATATTTGATATTTCACTGATACTATAAATTACTAAACACATACAAACCTTTAAATCTTATTCTCATTTAATATAACAATTTAAATATTATGATTTCAAAAACAAATAAAAGTTATTAAGAAATAAAGTTCAGTGCAATTAATTCAAATACTGATAATTAATAACAATTTCATATACTTTTAATATGAAATCAATACTGTTTTTGGAAAAATAATTTTAAAGAGAATCTTGATTAATTTCTGATAAATTTATCATTTATTAATTATTTAATTATTAGTGAAATATCAAATAATTTACTTAATCGATAGATATTCTGTATAATTATTAATAAATACATTTGTGCCCTGGTACATTTCATTTCTAGAATAAGAAAACATTTTCATAAATTATTTTTATCAGATCCATAATTTTAATAATAATTCTTGACAATTAATTACAATAAAAATAGAAATTATTTAAAAATTTATAAACTGCAAACTAATAAAAGTTATATAGATTGTTATATAGTTAGGCAAATAACCCAATTATGTCTCTTGATTATTTATCTAATTATGCAATTAGTAAACATCTAGGACAATTTGCACACTCGAGGCATTTCACTGGGAAGGGTTCACTGATTTAATGATAGGGCATTCAAATTATATATAAAATGATCTGAACACAACTCTCGTAATATAAATGTACTGTAATATAAAAATGATACACTGCATGACAATATAGCATCTAGTCTAATTTACATTTCTTTATTAACTATAGTCTAATCAAATGGATATCTAATTATGATTTAGAGGACAATTTGAATGAATTGAATATCAATGAGAATAAGTTTATTAATAAAGAGTTAGTCAAAGAGAATATAATAATTGGCGAGAAAGCAGTCAACGAAAGCCCTGTCAATGAAAAGTGCAATACTAGAGCCAAACCTCGACTCAATGATAATTGTCGACAAAATCTAAGTCAACGATCAAAAGAACGTAAAGTTCCGGCCAATAGAGTGAGTCGATTGGCATCTTTCGGGAGTTTAGCGGTTGGTCTCGGATTTGGAGCACTCGAAGAGATCACGAAAAAGACTTTAGGAAACTCTTCGCGCTCTTCGCAAAGCATTTTGGGATCAAATCCATTGCTGACGGAAGCGAATGCCAGTACGAGTACTGAGTTTTGAAAGTAAATCAAAGTTTGAATAAAACCTTATTATAAGAATTACTGTACTCTCAAAGCACAATAAAGTGAAATTATTTTGTCTAACATTATATTTATATTGAAATTGACTCAAAATAAATACTATTTAATTTAAATAAACTACTATTACCATATTTAATTTTATTTTAATTATTACAGACAAATTTTACTGTTATTAGAGTTTCAATCTTATCCAATCTTTTATACCTGGATTAAATTATTATACAACTGTATCTCAGTGTCGGTCTCAATATGATACCAATGGCTACTAATAAGTATGTAATTTGTAAATCTTAATTAAATTAATGTATAGTTAATTACCACTAGTTATTTAAAAATATACTTAAAGTTTACAATAAAAATCTAAACTTTTTATTCAAAAAAAACTATTTGTTGTCGTATTTTGTGAGCAAAATATAGCGCAAAACATTTGAATCACATTTTGTTTTGAGTTTTGTTTACAAAATAGTAATTCAGAAAAGGTGTGAATAAGTGATGAACCGTTCACTCAATAATGACCACTATTTGCCACATTAGATGCAATACAAGTGCCGAGATTGAGGTCTAAAAGTGTGTCAATTATGGGTAAAAAAGAGGATCCAAACCTATGGAAACACTGGACTCGAGTCCACAAACACGATCTGAATGGACGAGACCGTAAAAAGGACCATGTTAAGTGTGTCCATTGCGGTAATAAACAGTTGAGACACGCCGTCAAATGCCGCACACATGTCATCAATTGTCTGAAGTGTCCGCAAAGACTCAAACAAGTGCTCATCGGTTATATGGCTGACAAAGATCCACAAATGGCAGCGTCTTTGTGTCACTTACAGTCATCGGGAACTGATGGGTCTGTCATTGTGAGGGATATGTCGCCCAACGTTGTCATCAAAATGAATGACATGTTTGAAGAGATAATGTGTGAAAACAAACGACTTTTGCGGGAATTATCGTTGAGTCAGAAATGCGTGAAATTAATGCAAAACTATAGAAAATGTTTATTAGAGTTGCACTCAAAGTGTGTTTGCATTCAAAACGATCACTTCAAACCAGTTGTCCATCAATTGGAGACCAAATACCATGCCATCGATGAGCGACTCAGCGGTGGTCACGACAATGAGGTGGGAGTGGCTGCTGAGGAACGGGTGGTTACTATACGCCGCACCAAAAGGAAACTTATAAACAAATCCACAAAATCTGATCCAACCGTCGATTCCGACGATAACATCGCCGACGAGACAAATGATGACTTCGGAGACAATTCCGGTGATGACGTCAAGGGATCTGATTATGATTACAATCCTAGCGAAGATCCCAACAACAAGAAGTTCCACCCTTTGACTGATAATGAGAGTACTGACGAGACAATCGGTGGTGAATCCACTGTTAACCCGCCCATTACGCGAGTATCGTTTGATACTCCGAAGAATGGCTATAAACGCATCGATAGACGAGTGGTGTGTGAATGGGACGGCTGTGGGAAGACATTTCGAAAGCCATGCGAAATGTGGCAACACTTCCGGCGCATGCATACCAATGACCGGCCCTTCCGGTGCCAGTGTTCCGCTGAGTTTGCTTTAGAGATTGGACTAAAGGTTCACAAGAGGACGAGCCTCTTATGCAGAGGAGACTTTCCGAGTGAGACATTATACGCATGCATACCAATGACCGGCCCTTCCGGTGCCAGTGTTCCGCTGAGTTTGCTTTAGAGATTGGACTAAAGGTTCACAAGAGGACGAGCCTCTTATGCAGAGGAAACTTTCCGAGTGAGACATTATAAAGTGATTTATTATTACAAAGTAATTATTAATTGGTTTTATAGTGAAGCGTAAGAATTATGTTTGCGAACGGAGTGGTTGTGGACTCAGATTCAATAGGCGCCGCGCTCTTGAATCACACACCAGGAGAGGTCACCCACAGAAGGGGCCGTTCGTGTGCACCGGTTGTGGCAATATATTCTTGAATCAAATGTATCTCAGAGAACATGAGAAGTCGTGCGAGAAGTTGCCGGAGAAGACACGTCTGTCAACGGTGTCATTGATTATATGCACGACATGTGGCGACCCATTCGATACTCTGCGGGAACTGACGGCACATATAAAGGAAATGCATACAAATGAGTTGCCCTTTATGTGCACCAAATGTGACCAAAAGTTTGCGATTAAGTGTAATCTCCGCAAACATATGTTGCGGACACACTTTAAGGCGAAAGGGATAGCCCTTCCCCGCGGGTCCAAAGATGATGACGAAGGCTATGCTCTTATTTATAAGTTTTGTTGTGATTGGGAGGGCTGTGGCATGAGATTCAAGTTCCTGAATGTGTTGCGATCGCATTACTTCAAGACTCATCAAACGGAAACACCATTTGGTTGTAATAAATGCGATAAACGATTTACACAGCGCTTTGAACTCAGCAAACATAAGGCGATCTCTCATTCGACCGGTGCTTACAAACTATTTCAATGTGATTATGATTGCGGACAACAATTTGTTTACGAGAGCCAATTGATAGCTCACACCCGAAAAGTGCACACCGGGGACAAGCCATACGAGTGTGGCGTCTGTGGCAATAAGTTCGCAATGAAGGAGTATCTTCAAAAACACTTGAGTCGTAATCATGACAGGACTTACCGGTGCGAGACGTGCGACCATTCCTTCCAATCGGGGCTACAACTCAATGAACACTATAAGACAACTCCTGAGCACATGAAATACCAGTGCCTGGAGTGCGGTAAACGTTTCAAACAATCGGGAATATTGAGAACACATATGAGACACAAACACACGACTGAACGGCGCTTTGTGTGCCAACACATTGGATGTGGAAAAGCGTTCAAAACAAATGGTAGTCTCAGTAAACACACCCGAATCCATACAAACCCATTCATATGCGAGTGGCCCGGATGTGATAAGGCATTCGGGCAAA